CATTCAAAACTATGGATAAACAACCTGGCACAGTATTTTCTTCAACTCAGTTTTAATATAAATGTGAACAAGTTCTCAACCTTTTCCTTCCTCCAACACATCTCTGGGATGCAAAACGCTCTCATGAGCCAAAACCAAAACCAAACTCGCTGCCATCGAGTCGATTCTGACTCACAGTGCCCCTAGAGGACAAAGGAGAATTGCTCCCCAGGGTTTCCAAGACAGTAATCTAAGGAACTCTGGTGGCACACTGGATAAGGCATTTGGCTACTAACGAGAAGGTCAGCAGTTCAAATCCACCAGTTGCTCTGTGGAAGGAAGATGGGGTGATCCACTTCCGCAAAGATTTACAGCCTCGGAAACCTAATGGGGGTCATTTATGAGTTGGAATCAACTCAATGACTACAGTCTAGTAAATTACACTATATGGTTTTTCTAGCCATAAGTCTTTGTAAACCCCGTGGTGGAATTTGCTGTGAGCAACTGAGTAGCTCCTGATTGCTAAAGTTATCCACCTGGGGTATTTCTGTTGACCCATCAGGAAGCAATCTTCTGGGAAGTTCACTCTCTCTCAGGTATACAGAATTCTGATGTTGGGATTGGTTGGTTTGGCCAGTCTGACAGGCTCAAAAGTAGCCCTTCTAGAGGCAAAAGAAGTCTCTCCACTGGCTGAGAAGGAAATGCCACCGAAAGAAACCTGCTCCTGAGAGACAAGAGAGACACATGCTGCTGAGGGAGAGACACAAGAGACACACACTGCTGAGAGAAACATGAGGGACACACACTACTGATAGAGTGAGGTGCTACTGAGCCGGCCGGCTGCTGAGCGAGACGGCCGGCTGCTGAGCGAGATGGCCGGCTGCAAGAGACTGAGTGCATTTCTGAAGTTGAATTGCAGCCTGGTGCTTCCCTGATAAACCCCATAATTTGTGAGTTCTGTGTGGCCACTGCAGCAAATTATTGAACCCAGCAGAGAGATGGTGGGTGCTGCGGGAGGAAAGGCTGGTGTCAGGGTTGGTGAAAGGGCTGGAGGTGACTCTGTCTTCCTCTTGTGGGGTTAGAGGAGGTCAGAAGATGCAGCCTCCTTGCCCCTTTGGCAGCTGGTGTCAGAAGCAGTAGGATTCGTTGCAGTGCCTCCAGACTCACAGAAGCATGGGGCTTGAAAGAAAGAAGGAAGGGGCCTGGGAAGTAAAACGTTGGAGTCTTAGATGGTTACTTTGGTTGATGTTACCTACTAAAAGAGATAATTGATTTAGAGGCTAGGGCTTTGGTTATACCCAGCCAAAGGCTCAAGGCCATATACACAGAATAGGAAGGTAATCAAGGTGAAGAGATGAATGTGGAATTTCTTAAAAAGGATTATGTTTTGGATTATGTATTTATCTGAATATACTATGGATACTGCATGTTCTCTTACCTAGTCGTACATCAGAAATTCTTATGGGTTACGGATAATGAAGAGCGTGTAAGTCTGCCTTCAGCCGATACGTGACTGGATGTGTTAAAAGGGGAATAGAATTTGCCCAGAAAAAAAAACAGGCTTTTGTTTCAAGCCCTGTGTGTAGAGTATTAGGGGCTTAGGTAGAAAACCTGAGCCCCAATCACAACTACTGAGAGAACAGAAGATCTGCATTTGAAGACAGAACCCACAGAAAAAAAATAAAATGACTGCTTGGCTTTTTTGAATTTCAAGCAAGTAGTTAGGCCTTGGGTGCATCGAGGTAGAAAAGTCATGGTCCATGAGAGAAACCCCTCCAGGACTGAAAGTTAAAGAAAGCAGTGAATAGTAGGCTTGTATGCTACTCGCTTTTGACTACCTGGGTCCACTTCAGTGGAAATAGAGGAAGAGCAGCAAAGAAGAAACAGGCTGAGTTTGGTACTCTTTGACCTAGGCCATGGAGGCTGGGGATGAGAGGGAAGGGCTGGCTGGTCTGAAGTGCAGGGAGCTGTGAGCCTATGGGCACTGAAATAGTCCCTGAGGACTGAGGATGTGAGAAAAGGTGCTGACTAGTCTGAAGTGAAGAGTGTGACTCCCAAACTTCTCAGCTGGAACCCATGACCTAGCTGGAATGGCCAGGGCTGAGCTGATCAGAACCCGACCAAATGGAGAGAAAGGTGTCTGACACTGAGCTGGTGTTAAGTTGCTGCAATTTGATGGTTTGCACTGGGCTGGACTTTTGCTCGTTTATGGATGCAGATTCCCAAAGTTTCCAAGCATAACAGAAGATTCTTCAGTGAGAAAGGAACATGCTTATCTCTTGACAGTACTGGTTTGATAGGGACAGGCAAATTAGAAATTGTTGTTGTTGTTATGTGCCATCAAGTCAGACCTGACTCACAGCAACCCCTCCTTCGGTTTCTGAGGCATATCTCTATGAAAGTAGATTGCCCAATCTTCCTTCCGAGGAGTAGCTAGTGGGTTTGAACTGCCAGCCTTCTGGTTAGCAGTCAAGTGCCTTAGACACTACACTACCAGAAATTGGCTATCTAAAATAGGGGAGATAAAGGCTTGAATGGTTGCCTCACATGCTTTCATGGGTGTGGTTGTTCTTAAACTGATGGTGAAAGGGATGTTAATTTTTGAAGTATAAAAGGGATAACAGCTAGGAAAGCCAGGGGGTAGCCTGCGGAGTAGTAAATTACCTGGTATGGCTTTTCTAGCCATAAGTCTGTGTAAACCCCTGTGGTGGAATTTGCTATGAGCAACTGAGTAGCTCCTGATTGCTAAAGTTATCCACCTGGGGTATTTCTGTTGAACCAGCAAGAAGCAATCTTCTGGGAAGTTCACTCTCTCTCAGGTGTATAGAATTCTGATGTTGGGACTGGTTGGTTTGGCTACTCTGCCAGGCTCAAAAGGAGCCCTTCTAGAGGCAAAAGAAGTGTCTCTGGCTGCTGGCTGAGAAGGATGTGCTCCTGAAAGACATGAGAGACACACACACTGCTGGGAGAGAGATGCAAGAGACATGCACTACTGAGAGACTGGCATGCTACTGAGACTGCTAGCTGCTGAGTGAGACGGCTGGCTGCAATAGACCGAGTACATTTCTGAACTTGAATTGTAGCCTGGTGCTTCCCTAATAAACCCCATAATCTGATTTCTGTGTGGCCACTGCAGTGAATTATTGAACCCAGCAGAGAGGTGGTGGGTGCTTTGTGAGGCACGGTTGGTGAAAGGGCTGGAGGGAGGCAGCATGTCTGGCCTCACAGGGATAGGCCTTGGGCTACTGATGGTGATTCTGTCTTCCTCTTGTGGGGTTAGTGGAGGTCAGGAGATGCAGTCTCCTTGCTTCTTTGGCAATGGCAGTGAGTTTGGTTTTTTGGTTTTAATCTTTATAGAAGCAGGCTGCCTCATCTTTCCTCCATGCAGTGGCTGGTGTGTTCGAACCGTCAACCTTCTGGTTATCAGCCTAATGCATGAACCTTAGAGCCACCAGAATGCCTCCTCCCATAAGCAGTAAAGGTTAACAGGAAATGATGTGGAGGAGGGCAGCACACAGCGAAGACTAACACAGTCCTGCCCCACCTCCCAGTGCCTTCACTCACAGTCAGACCTCTCTCCTGTGAGAACCACTCACCCAGAACGTAGCTCAAACCTCCAGGGAGCTGTTGTCCCTTTGCTTCAAATTAAAATCAAACCTCAACGCTGTTTTGCCCATGTGTCCTTAATGAAACGCAACCAGTCCAACCAAAAACTTAGACCAAGTTGGCTATTCACTATCTGATGTATGTGACAAACCCCTTATCATGTGCCTACAGTTCTGTGCCACCAATTTTAAAACGAGTACTACAACAAAACCTAATTAAAAAAAAAAAAAAAAACAGCCATTCATGGACTAAAACAAAAAAGCTTCATGTACTCTAACAAGAAGCTGCACAGAAAAATCATTCACAATGTTATTCTTCAAGACAAAGGATATACATGAGCTCATTTAAGTAAAATCAAAATAATACTCAAAGCACAGGGACAAAGTATTCATCCACTCTGCAAACATCTGGCCAGATTCCATGGCTGCTTGCTCTCACCCCTCTCAGGATCCGTGATCTAGCCAGCAGGTTAAAAAGAAACCTCACAAACTCAGGTTCCTGTTTCTGACTCTAAAGCAAACCTGACTGTGTATTAAACTGAAGTTGAAAACATACTAAGTACATACAAACGCACATACATACACTTAGACACATGCATATGTATGTGCTATATAGCTATAAAACGCAGAATCACAGCCGCACAGACGTTCAAAGGACCTCAAAGACCGCGTGCAAATTGACTTGCCCTTTTTTAGACGCTCCAGAGTGACATCCCAACCTTCCCCATCCAGCTTTGCCACCGTGAACGGGAAGAATTTCCGAGCTATCAAGCTATCAAAACCCAATCAGTACTTGAAGTCACTTCTTTACAAAAATCTCCACATTTCAAAGCATACATGATAACAACAAAGCCTTCTTTCCCTAAATGTCTATTATCTAAGCTAAGCACCTTTGCCAAACAGTGTGCACTTTTTTTTTTTCCTTTGATCGTCTTTCCACTTCCCTGCAACACACATCTCTCTTTAAAATATTGTGACCCAAACTGGATGTGCTAATCAGAAAGAGCAGTATACTGCAAAGAACAGAGAACAGAACTACACCCATGTCCACGAGGCTGTCTTCATGTGAAGCACTTCGGCACTATGGTGATTTTGTCCTGACTCACACTCAGCCTGTGGTCAGCCACCACTGCCACTGTCTTCCCTCTCCGCATACACCTAGGCTGTCCTTCTCCATCCACTATTTATGTGGTTGGGCTTTTTCCTTCTGCAAGTCACTCTGCACTGAATTCACTAAGCTTCATACCTTTTCATAGATACATCTTTCCACCCACGACAGTACTTTATAGAAATATCTAAATCTGCAATTTATACCTAAAAAATATTAGGAATATGAAAGTGCATACTCATGACACAGCACATACTGCAATTAACTAAGGGCGCTGTGTGCGGTACTGATGGCCACTCAAAACCTACCTCCACGGGACGATCGCTCTTGACCAAGGCTATCCGTGCCCTTTGCAAAGAGCCATCCATCAGCTTGTGAAGTCTTAAAATTAACTTTCGTAAACCCATTTGTTTCAGGGCTTTGTCTACAAACGGTCTGTATATAGAAGTCCGACAGTGTCTGCTAAAGCCTGCTTCAGAACTGCAGTCTGGGGCTCCCCAGCCAGCAGACTCCTCCTCAGACTCGAGCCCTTCAAGTGTCTTAGACACACTGTCCTGGGACTGGGTGTCAACACTGCTCTCAGGGGCCTGTCTGCTTCCTCGTCCACTCCACGCAGAGCTGAGCTCTCCTTCACTCTCATCTGCACTGCTCTCCAGCTCTTCCAAGTCTCCTTCGGGGTCATCACCCTCATCCTCCGCTTCATGGCCTTTGGATGGTCGAGGAGAAGGGATTTCAAACACTGGCCAGCCAATGTCTGATAAATTCTTGATGCCCAAAACAGTGCCCATAATCCGTAACTTCTGATTTAAGTCCTTTGTGATGTTTAACCACAAACAGAGCGCCTGCACCCTGTCCTGGAAGTCCTTTGCAGCGTATTTTTCATAGTCCTTCTGCAGAGCCTGCAATGATGGGTAAAGTGCCTCTATGTACTCTAGCAGCTCCATTATCCGCTTCACCTGCTCAAACGAGACCCTCTGGCGCTGGAGATGCTCGTGGTAGGTTGAGTAACCCACAGTCTTTGTTCCACGGGGAGCACTGCATTGCCCATCTAGGGAAGTACCATTAACACTAGCTCCATTTCTAATAAAGGCAAAGTTCCCATAGTTAACTTTGAAAGTAAGGATTTCATTAATGATGTCAGGGATGGCTTGACGGGCTGTGTATAAAAAGAGGTCCTGGTCGTTAATGGTCCGCCCTGCATGCCAGGCTTGGAGCTCCAACCAGATCAGTTCATTGGATCGGTTAAACCAGAAAGCAGAAGTACTTTCTTGTCCTCTCTGCTCCCTGTCCTTCTTCTTTGAGACTGAGGTAAGCTTCAGAAGAAGTCGTAATGTTTCAAAAAACTTCAATCGATCTGCTGGGCAGTCAGTCCGAGAAGTCTGGCGGGCAGTTCTGGCTATGGGCACAGGCACAGACACCGGGAGCTTAGCGTTGCTGCAGCCAAGGCTGAGGTAAGGCTTGTGGAGACCCACATCTGGAATCGACTGTTTTGGCAAAGACCCTGCCACTGAGTCTAACATGAAGGAGCACTGCACATTTTTTTTATGGTCACGTTCTGTTGTTCGAAGAGTTGCTCGGATCTTTTTCTCCTGCTTATAGCTGTAGTCTTCCAGGCTCTCTGCTGCTTTTCCAGTGTCTTTATGTGGAGGCTGATCTGGTGCATGCATTTTTTCTATTAGAAAAACAAACAAAACATGAAATTACTCTAAAATGTGACGTTACTCTGAAGAGTTTCAATATAAATGACACCTGCATGCACTTGTATTTTCAAATTCTTACTAGAGAAAAACAAAGACCACATTCTGAAAATTAAATGAATCAAGATATTTACATAACATTTCTCTTTAAAATTTTTAAAAGATTCGATCCATTTTCTCCTATATTTTCTTATATTCACCACCATGAACCTAAAGGGAGCTCTGGTGGCATAGTGCCTAAGGCACTTGCCTACTAACCAGAAGACTGGCGGTTCAAACCCACCGAACACTCCTCAGAAGGAAGGATGGGTGATCTACTACCATACTGATACTGCCTTGGAAACCCAAGGAGGGGTTGCTATGAGTCAGAGACAACTCAATGGCATATAACAACAACAACAACATGAACCTAAAACGAGTTGTTTACCCCTACATGACAAACTGTAGCTATCCACTGAGTCAAATCTCCCTAAGTAATCACCTACAGCTCAAGAAGAGAGAGAGAGACAGAACTCTCGTACATCCAAGAAGTCCTGGTGGTGCAACGGTTAAGAGCTCAGTGCTGCTAATCAAACACGTTGACAGTTTGAGCCCACCCTGCAGGAAAAAGACCTGCCCATCTGCTTCTGTAGAGATTACAGCCTAGGAAACTCTACAGGGCACTTCCACCCTGTCACACAGGGAAGCTATGACTGGAAATCAACTTGACAACATCCAGCAACAACATGGCACATCCATGTGATGATGGCTGACACACAGGGGAGAAATGCAAAGACAGAGACTTGGATGTCATCAGTGCACAGAGATGCACTGAATACCCTGAAAGCAGATCCGTCACCCAGGGAAATTCTGCAGAGAAGGAGCGACGGGCACCAGACCAGCATGCTCCATCGGCTCACATGTGTCTCCATACACACGACTGCGTCAGAGGACAAAAACGTTAAATAATGAGAAACAGTTTCCTTAGTTTACTGATTAGGATCAAACAGCCAAAACCATTATAAAATACAATTACTGATATGGCCATAGAAAGCTGGCATATAATTTGTAATTTGACACTGCTTATACTAAATAGTAAAAAGGTATTTATTTATATAACTAATTCAGGTTCTTCTAATCACATGTTACCAAAGTTGCAAAATTTATTTTTGTAGGTTTTGTTTTGTATGCCTACCTTACAGCATACAAAACAGTATATTGCATAATTTATCAAAATGTTCTTGATTATATAAAGCAATGTTGTAATACAGTAAAGCTGTGAAAGCCAGAATCTGTATAAGGTGGAAATCCATCAGAGAAGGAAAACTCAAATCTTTTCCACTAATAACCCATTACTAGGTATATACCCTAAAGAAGTGAGAGCCATGACAAGAACAGATATATGCACACCCATGTTCATCGCAGCACTATTTACAATAGCCAAAAGATGGAAACAACCTAGATGTCCATCAACTGAGGAATGGATAACCAAACTATGGTACATATACACAATGGAATACTATGCAATGCTGAAGAATAATGCAGAATCTGCAAAACACCGCATAACGTGGATGAACTTGGAGGATATTATGCTGAGTGAAATAAGTCAATCACAAAAGGACAAATATTGTTTTAGTCCATTACTGTAAGAGTTAAGGAAAGGTTTATCTATAGAAGGACATTTTCTTTGTTGGTTACCAAGGGTGGGAGGGAAGGGGAGGAAAGGCTGTTAGAGATAGAGATAAGTACTGATTTGGGTGAAGAGAAGGGCAATGTACCAAATGTGAGTGACCAATATGGCAGCATTGAGGATGAGAAAGACATAGAGAGGTACATGGGAGGTACAGAAACAAGTATGAACCCTTTTATACATATAGTACTGCATTGTCAGTAAAGGCAAACATGGGTATATGGATGGAGAGATGGGTGGACAGGCTAAACGATTAGGCATGTCTATGAAATGGGGAGTGTACCCAAGAACATATATAGGGTTGGGAGACAATGGTCCTATAAGTTTATGTGAATGATCAGAATTCCCAGGTGTATAGTAGAGCTGACAAGGGGCAAGGTTGTGGTCACTGCTTGGTCACAGCCAGCTACCCAGAGGGATCGAGTAGTTGAACTTGAACCTGTGGGCTTGGGATCATAGTCGCAGGGAACATCAAGCTCAATTGGCATAACATACTATACAAAACATTGTTCTACCTCCTACTTTGGCGAGTAGCGACTGGGATCTTAAAAACTAGCAAGCTGCCATCTAGATGCAATGATGGGTCTCTCCTCGTCCAGAGCAAAGAAGAATGAAGAAAACCAAAATTCATGGAAACAATTAGTCCTAGCGTCTGGTACACCATCCGATCTGCAGCCTATACAAGTATGAGACCAGAAGAACTAGATGATGTCCTGCTACCACTGTCATCCACTTGGAAGGGGATCAGTGTAGGAGATCCTTGATAGAGAGGGAGAACAATGTGGAACAAAACTCAAAATCATTTGGAGGGAAAAAAAAAAAAAAAAGGTGGGGACCAGGTTTGCTGGTCTGATAGAGCCTGGTGGAACCACTGACACTATGGCCCCTAGATGCCCTCCAGATCTGTAATTGAACCCACACCTGTGGTTTCCAGCCAAACAAAATACAGGCATATGAGTTGAACATTTACCTCAGGTAGATACACTCCTTGGAGAGAACAATCATGGGAGAAAGAAGGGCTTCTTATGCACAGGGAGACAGCTCAGAGGGCAGGAGTATATGGAGGGATGGACACTGGGAAGAGGTTAACTATGGGGAGGAAGTGGGAGGGGAGCTGTTGCATTGTGGTAATCTGTGGTCAATAACATGAGACAAAGTATACTTGAACTGCTGTATGGAAAGTGTATTTGCTCTGTAAATCATCACCCAAATCACAATTTAGAAAAAAAAAAAAAACTTCAACAACTTAACCACAAAGAGAAGTAACCCAATCATTGGGCAATGGACTTGAATAGACATTTCAACAAAGAGGACATTCAAATGACACATGAAAAGATGCTTAATGTCATTAGCATCAGAGGGATGGAAATCAAAACCACATGAGATACCATTTCACTCCCCCTAGCTCTCGTGGCGCACCGCCTAAGGCATATGACTGCTAACCAGAAGGCTGGAGGTTCAAACCCACCAGCCACTTCTCCGAAGGAAGACTAGACAATCTACCTCCATAGAGATATCACCTCAGTAACCTGAAAAGGGGTTGCTATGAGTCAAATCGACTTGATGGCAGTGAGTTTGGTTTTTTGGTTTGAGGACAACTAGGATTAAACAAAACAAACAGAAAATAACAAACGTTGGCAAGGATGTTGGGAAACTGGAACAGTTATCCACTTCTGGTAGGAATGCAAGAATGTTACACACATGCAGAAAATAACGTGGCTGTTCCTCAAAAAAACCAGAAGTAGAACTACCACACAAGCCAGCAATTTCACTCAAAGGTACGCACACAAAGACTTGAGAGCAGAGACTCAGAGTCCTATGTGCCAATGTTCTCCGCACCACTGTTCACAACAGCCAAAAGGAGGAAACAGCCTAAACGCTCACCACTGTGGTACATACATACAATGGGATATTGCTCAGTCAGCAGGAGAAATGAAGTCCTGACGCAAGTGAGTCTATGGATGGAGCTGGCAAACTTTATGCTGAGTAAATTACTTCAATCACAAAAGGACAAACACTACATGATCTCAATGTATACAGAGTAGTTTATTAGTGGTTACTAGGGACAGGAGGAAAGGAGAAAGGGGGAGGTTTTAAACGTGATGGAAAAATAGCACTGATTAAGGGTAGGGCTGCACAGCCTATTGCTGTAAGTTGTACCCCTGGAAAATGTCAAATTGGTAAAATATGTGTGATAGCTATATGGATGACGACGACAACAACAACAACAAAACAACAGCTGCTAAGGCAGCTTATGTACAATGAAAACTGCATGGGATTTGGTTCCTTAGTTTGGAGGATTAGGGTCATGGCTGAATGGCACACTCAGTTAACTGGCCTGACAGTATGTTTAGTCCTTCTGTTCTACCTCCTAATTTGTTATAAAAAGCCTGGGGTCTTAAAAGCTTGCAAATGGCCATCCAAGGCATGATAATTGGGCACTCTGGTGGTGTAGTGCCTAAGACATTTGACTGCTAACCAGGTTGGCAGTTCAAACCCACCAGCCAATCCACTGAAGGAAGACTGGGCAATCTACTTCTGTAAATATTTACCACCTCAGAAACCCAAAGGGAATCACTATGAGTCCGAATCAACTCGATGGCAATGAAGTTTTGTTTTTTTAAATTCACCTGGAGCAGCAGAAAGTGAAAGAGAGTCACAAACAGGGAAGATATGGAATGTGTGGCTAACTGCCTCCATGAACAGCTGCCTCCTCTGCCATGAGACCAGAAGAACTGGATGATGCCTGGCTACCGTTACCTAACATTTTAATCAAAAGTTCTATAAAATAATCCTGATTTAAAGGGGGAAGATGCAGAAGAGAATTTCAAATTCTCATGGACTCCAGACTTTCTGGAGCCATAGAGGGTAAAAGAACCACTGAAACTACTGCCCTGAATTATTCTTAAAACCAAGCAGTAGTCTTGCTTAACTAGTAACAGATGACTCCCTTAGGATTATGCTCTTTCAAGAACTATCTATACAGGATCAAAATGGTAACAGCAACTCAAAAGATTAGACAGGAACCTTAGAGGACTGTGAGTTTATGTTAATGGGTGAGAACAGCTCAGAAAAGGAGGCCAAGGCCGAGAACAGCTGCTCAACTTGAGAAAGTAATCAATACACTGAATTACCCAGGTGTAAGTGGATGAAGTGCTATGTTCTGTTATGGATATGCTCAGTAACAACAGGAAGAAAGGCAAGAAAAGGAGGGAGGGAGGGAGGAGAGGGAAGGACAGGGAGAAAAGGGGAGAGAAGAGAAGCAGGAAGAGGGAAGGAAGAAAAGTGGTAAAGACTGAGCGCTGC